AGATCTAAAATGGAGGCCATGTTGAGAATGAATTCTGGGAACAACTCATGGAATGTTAATGAATGTTAATGAAGTCCTGAGAAAAGCCCTAGGCCCAAAGTCCATCCCAAGGAAATGTTAATGAAGTCCTTCCTGCCCAGCTTACTACTTTGGCCCACCTGTGTCCCACCCCTTGGGCCTTCAAACCTACATTCCATCACTGAAAGAACTATAAAAAGGAGAAACAACCACACTTCCATAGATTCCACCTCTTGGGTCCCCTTCTTCCTCAGGGAGAAGTCTTTTCTGCTGTCCTTTAATAAACTTCTAATTTCTACTCTGACCTTGCCTTGGCGTGCTTCTCTGGTGTTATTCTTCAACATTGGGGAAGCAAGGACTCCTCACCAGTCAAAAGCGGTAACAAAGATACAGATTACAAATGCTGCCTAATAGGGCATAATAATGATCATATTTGAGGAAATACTGTTCCTTCTTTGCTGATAGTAGGCCCGCCCTGGCCCCTGGGGACTCAACCCCCAGTTCTTTGTTATGCATGTCAATGTGGCCAGCTCACAAGGCCATGACGCAGGCTTGCGGTTCCCTGTTTATCTGCCTCGCACATATGTGTCTCGGGAACATCTTGGCCTGTTCGAGCCTCCTGATAGGGGACGGTGACATGACGGTAACCCAAGGACGCAGTTATTACTCTTCCCTCCTCACTTTTGAGTAATTTCCCGCAGCTGTTAAAAAGATATATAAGGGGAACAAATTTGGCAATAAAGCGCGCGCGCACACGCTCCCTCCTGGATGAAGAACCTTGGTGTCCTGTCTATTTTTAACCCCGCCGTCCCTCGCCGGACTCGGCTCTGTTAGCCAGACGCGGCACTTCTTGAAACTGTTACATTTAATTATTTAATCATTATCTGTCTTCTCATACATTGTAGGTTTTATAAATAAAATGATACTAATTTCAGGATTAAGCACAATGAGTGGCATGCTATAGCATTTCAATAAGTATTGGTTGAGTTAGTAAACCAACCTTTTTGCGGGGAGGGTACAGAAATTAAACTCAGGGATACTTTACCACAGAGCACCATCCCTAGCCCTTGTTATTTTTTATTTTGAGACAGGGTCTCACCAAATGCTTAGGACCTCACTAAATTGCTGAGGCTGACCTTGATCTGGTGATCTTCTTGCCTCAACCTCCAAAGTCATGGGATTACAGGCATGTACCACTGTGCCCAGCAGTGATTTAATTTTTTTTTTTTTAAAAAGAGAGGGGGGAAGAGGGGAGAGAGAGAGAGAGAGAGAGAGGATTTTTTAATATTTATTTTTTAGTTGTCGGCTGACACAACATCTTTGTTTGTATGTGGTGTTGAGGATCGAACCCGGGTCCCGCAAGCACGCCAGGCGAGCACGCTACCGCTTGAGCCACATCCCCAGCCCGTGATTTAATTTTTATATGGGAAAATTAGCCAATTTGGAAAATTTTGCTAAATAATACATCAATTTTTCTATTAGTCAAACTTCAATTAGTATAATTAAGATAGGAGTAAAGGATCCAGATGGCAGGCTAGAGGGAAATGGCATTCTTTGTAGCTTTGTGACCTGGGATTCAAGCAGTGGAAACACTGTTTGTCTGCAAGTTTTTAGAGGACCTCCAACAGCTGCTCTCACACAAATCATGTCATAAGCAAATAGACAATTTGAGTTCTTTTTTTATCTGTATTCCTTTCATCCAATTGCTCTGGATAGAGTTTTATGAACTATGTTAAATAGAAGTGGTGGAAGAGCGAATCTTTGTATTGTTCCAGTTTTTAGAGGGAATGCTTTCATTTTTTTTCTCCATTTAGAATGAGAAAAAGCCTTGGGCTTAGCATAAACAACTTTTACAATGTTGATATGTTCCTATTATCCCTAGTTTTTCCAGGGTTTTGAACATGAAGGGTGCTGCATTTTGTTGAATGCTTTTTTCTGCATCTATTAAGATGGTCATATGATTTTTATCTTTAAGTCTATTGATGTGATGAATTACATTCATTGATTTCCAAAAGTTGAACCAATCTTGCATCCCTAGGATGAATCTCATTTGGTCGTGGTGCTCTATCACTTTAATATGTTTTTGTATTTGATTTGCCAGAATTTTATTGATAATTTTTGCATGTATGTTCATTAGAGATATTGGTCTGAAGTTTTCTTTATTTCATGTGTCTTTATCTGGTTTTCGAATAGGTGATATTGGCTTCATAGAATGAGTTTGGAAGTGTTCCCTCTTTTTATATTTCATGGGATAATTTGAAGAGTATTGGTATTAGTTCTTCTTTGACGGTTTTCTAAAACTCAGCAGTGTATCCATCTGGTCCTAGGCTTTACTTGGTTGTAGTCTTCTGATGGTGTCTTTTGTTTCATTGTTCAAAATTGATCTGTTTAACTTGTGTATATCATTCTGATTCAGTTTGGGTAAATCATCTGATTTTAGAAATTTGTCTACGTCTTTGATGTCTTCAGGGTATGAAGACTATCACCAGCCACAACACTGCACACCATAGAACTGTATTTATTGGAGTACAGTTTTTCAAAATAATTTCTAATTATTTTTTGCATTTCTGTAGTGTTCATCGTGACAGCCTGCACCTGGGGACACAGGACAGGGTATGAAGACTATCACCAGCCACAACACTGCACACCACAGAACTGTATTAAAAAACAGCATACTACAGAGATGCAGTCACATCAATGTTTATAGCAATACAATTCACAATAGCTAAATTATGGGACCAAACTAGATGCCCTTCAATTGAAGAATGGATAAAGAAACTGTGATATACATTCACAATGGAATATTACTCATGATTAAAAGAGCATACAATCATGGTATTTGCAGGTAAATGGAGTAGAAGAATATCATGCTAAGTGAAGTAAACCAATCCCCAAAACCCAAATACCGAATGTTTTCTCTGATATGTGCATGCTGATTCATAATGAAGGCTGGGGGTTAGGGGGAGCATGAGAGGAATGAAGGAACTTTAGATAGGGCAAAGGGGAAGGAAGGGAAGGGAGTGGGCATAGGGGTAGGAAAGCTGGTGGAATGAGTTGAACATCATTATTCTAAGTACATATATGAAAACATAAATGATGTGTCTCTATGTACAAGCAGAGAAAAAATTGTGCTGTACATGTGTATTATGAATTGAAGTGCATTCTGCTGTCATGTATAAAAAATCAAAATAAATAAATAAATTTTAAAAAAGATAGGAGTAGGGAAAAAATAATTTAACAAGCAGCTATTTTAATCATTAGTTTCCACCTTCTCTCTCCAACAAAATTTTGTTGTAGAGGTAATTTACATATGTCTTTTGAGAGCTATACAGCAATAGCAAAGTTTTCATGAAAAACAGAAGAAAAAAATAGCCAAAGGTCTAGAAATTAACAAATTACATAAGTGATCCTCAAAATGTTTATGTGAAGCACAATCAAATTAGATATTATATATTAGATATTGAGAAGACTCTTGTCCCAATGTTTGACACTAGATAGTTATTCAAAGCCCTATATTCTTTATTAGTAAAACAGATAAAATACATCTGGGTGCTCCAAGATTGAGGGGGATAATTATTTCACCAGCTGTTGCACATTATCAATAATTTCATTCTAACTTGCTGTATATGCTGCTGTGCATCTATAGGGTTAGGGACCAACTTATTTTTTAAAGAAAATATTCATGGAAAGGTGTTTGTCTCTGAAATAAAAAACACCAGAAGAATCACTTGAGGAATGTGTAAGGGGCCAGTAGCTAAAGGAGCTGAGGTTAGTTGGGCTTTAAACAATATATAAATATTCTAAAAAAGCAATTAGTTCAATAAAGATGTTTGTTTTAAAGTTAACTTTTAGGGATTTTACCAAAGTTCTAAGAGGGAAAAAAAAAAAAAAAAAAACATTAGCTATATCAGCCAACAATAACACTGAGGAGAAATAAATCATTTGCTTGTAATGACTTGTTAAAAATGAAGAAAGATGCCTTGTCTAAGGCCATTAGAACTGCAGACAATGCAGCAAAGGTATGGCATAGTCCTGGAGGTACCATCTCCTTCCAATCCCACGCAAAAATGTTGCTTTGGCTGAAAAAGAAAATGATTTTGCTTACATATGAGTAGCCCTTTGTAAATTCCTAAAATTTCCCTCTGGGTGAGATGGATGGATGCAGGAGTTCTGTTTGCAAATCTTCTAAACACCTTTAAAGAAAATGTGTGGTAAGTGTAAGGGAAGGATGAGGGCTGGGGCAGTGACATTTGCTCAAAACTCACTGACTGTAATAATGCAAGATCCTTTGAATGGCTAACTGTATTAACTTGAATCTATAACATTCCAGTGAGGAATGTGAAAACCTCAGTTAGAGAGGAATTACCCGAATTTGGAGACTTGTTCATGTGAGGGGGTGGAACAAAAGAATTTCATTCTCATTTTGGTGTTGATGTATGGTTGAGACATTAGTGAGTTGCAGTGGAGCAGTCAGGATCTGGATTATTCCCAAGTTTGACAAGTTGGAAATTGGGTCCGAGAATCTGGAACCGGAGCAATCAAAAAGGAATGAAAAATAACGCTCAAATACATTTTGCAGCCGAGATTCCGGAATTCTTGGGATGGGATTGGCGAAGAAGCAGTCTTTTAGGCAGCAGGAACATTTCCCGCAGCTGCCACAGCCGACTTTGCCCGGATACTGCAGGATCCATGGAATGGAAGTTGCAGGCCAACAGGAAGAGTGCCTCCTCCCTCTGCAGGGCTTCCTCTCTCCCCGCCAGGGTTCCTGGCGACTTCAGGGGCCAGAAGGAGCTCTGGGCTCGCTCCTTTTTGTTAGTCTCTGGACCCACTGGCAGGGCTGAGCCGCCTTTTGGAAGGTCAGCTGCGGTCAGCGGCGGTGAAAGCTGCCTGGGAGGTCGCCGCTTTCAAGGCTCTCTCTCTGCTCTTCTGCAGCCCGGAGCTTTTTCGAGGGCTGCTGGCTCCCAGATCTCAGAACAGAAGCCATGGCGAAGTCCAGGGGCCGTCTGTACCTTTGGATGTCTTTGATTGCCGTGCTGGCATCTTTTCTGGTGGGCTTTATGGTGGGTGAGTGTACAATCAAGTCTCCGGGCTGTCTCTCTGGGGAGGTAAAGGGAGGAAGCCTGTAGCTGGAGCGAGTGGGTTGTCCCAGGCCAGTGTCTAGTTCGGCTCACAACATGGCTAACTCCATAAACTGCACCCAAACTAGAAACCGAACAGAATGTATTTGTGGCCGCAATAAGAAAAAAACATAACATAAAATAAATAAACTCACTGAGTTCAGGCTTTTATTGTGGGCATTTGAAAAGAGAACTTAGGGCTGTCACTGTTCAGGGATGAAAAATTTATTTGCATTTCCAAGGAATAGTAATGAGTCAAAATTATTAGCTAATATTGACTAAGCACTGCAAAGAATTTTTTCCTTATCGTTTAAATACATAAATTTTGGAAAACTCCCTGTGTGTCAAGAACTGGTACAAATTAGATCCCCTGGCGAGAATAAGAAAGGCCTTAACTCAGAGATGCAAACATGTAAGAAGGGAAAGCACATCTCTCAAGTAAAACCGGTTTTAACCCACTCAAAATTGCAGCACACAAAGGAATGTGGAGGTTTTCTGCATTTTATATGGATCTTTTTTAAAAAGTTCACTATGAGCTATTTGTCAGGCATCAGTTTTTCTTTTTCTTTTTGCCTTTTTTGGCTTTTGGTTTTTTTCTTCTTTTTAATTTTTTTTTTTTTTCTTTGAGTCAGGGTCTTGTCAATTGTTCCAGGCTGTCCTCACACTTGAGATCCTCCTGCCTAAATTTCCCTAGTTTCTGGAATTACAGGCATGCACCACTGCACCACAGCTGGTTTCTACTTCTAATAAAGTCAAAAGTAATTGTGTATATGTATTTTCCCCCCCACAGGCTGGTTTTTTAAGCCTCTCAAAGAAACAATCTGTGCACCACACCATGGTCAAAGTATACGAGGGAAACTGTTGTCAGAAATGAAAGCTGAAAACATTAGATCATTTCTTCGGTAGGTTTGTTTTGCATTTTTATTCTAAACATAGTATTTAAAATATTATTTAGTCATAGGTGTATTAAAACTGGTTATATTCAGTTGAACAATCTTTGTGTGAAATTATATATTACTCATTAATTTACGGTTAGTTAAAATGTCTCTTTAAACTACTCTTGGTGTGAAATCCATAACTTGTTAAGAAGTAGGTCTTTCTTCCTAATTTCATCCTCCAGAAAAGTATCTGTTGGCTCACTGGGGGATGTTTCAACTTCATGCAGCTCTGGGCTGCAAGTGAATGCTATTCTTTGTTCCTCGTTGTGGATGTAATCAGTAGCCTGAATTTAATCAGCAATTTTATTTATTTTTTACACACTGTATTCACTTAGTTTGTTCTTTGCTCAGTGATTTAGTGAAAAGGAGATCAGTGTTTCAGATTCTGTCTGCCACAGGTTAAACCTTGATCCTCTCTTGTTAATATAAATTTGTGGTTCAAAAATAGGGCAACATGAAAATAAAATATGATCAGTGCCAATCTTCCATCTTCTAAGAGTGATATTCAGAGTGATATTTGTGAACTTGTTGAAAGCAATTAGCATAACATTTATTTCTGTGTTCAGGCTGTTTCAAAGAAGTGATATTTTAAAAATCAGCTTTATTGAAGGATAATTTTCATAAAGTAATCTTGATCCCTATAATATCTACAACTTCAGAGTTTTTACAGATGTCTGTGGTATGCAACAAACCATCGCCTCAATCACGATACAAAATATTTCTAGCATACCCTCTGTAGTTTGTTCCTCCCTTCACTCCTGACCCTACATAATCACTGTTCAGTTTTACATCACTATAGATTTATTTGCATATCCTAAAATTTTTATATAAATGTGGTGTTCATAGCATGTTCTGTGTGTTATCTGGCTTCTTTCACTCAGAATAATGATTTTATGAGTGGCTCAGGTGGTTAGGGATGTAGCTCAATTGGTAGATTGCTTACCTGGCATGCACAAGGCCCTGGGTTCAATCCCCAACACTGCCAAAAAAATAAATAAATAAAATAAAAATGATTGACCCACGTTGTTGCATGTGTCACTAATTCCTTCTTCTTTTTTAAATCACTGAGTAGAATTCCGTTGTACAGATATTCTATAATGCGGTACTTGAGGGACATTTGGATTGCTTCTACTTTTTATTATTGTAAAAGAAGCTTATATAGATATATGTTACAAGTCTTCATGTGATATATATTTTCATTTCTATTAGAATGATTGGGTTGGAGGATAAGCATTTGCTGTGTTTTTCTTCTCCCCCCCCCTCCTCTCTGTGTGTGTGTGTGTTTGTGTGTGTGTGTGTGTGTGTGTTTTGCTGGGGATCAAACCTAAGGTCTTGCACATGCTAGGCAAGTGCTTTAACACTGAGCTTTACCTCCAGCCCTTTAGAGTTTTTTAAGAAAAGGCTAAAGAGATTTCAAAAGTGGTCATAGCAGTTTATATTTCTACCCATCAGTGTAAGTATTCTAGTAGCTCCATATCCGGGGCAATGCTTAGTATTGTCAGTTGTTCAGATTTTAACCAATTTAATTGTTGAATAGTGCTATATTTTTGTAATTTTAATTTGCATTTCTTCATGACTCATGATACTAAACATCTTCTCATGTTCTTATTAGACATTAGTATATCTTATTTTATAAAGTTTCTGTCCATATATTTTCCAATACATATTCTGGGGTTAAGTCCTTTGTTAATCATATGTATTACAAATATTTTCTACTGCAGCTGGCCTTTTGTCATAGTGGAGTTTTTGAAGATCAGAAATTTCTAATCTCAATGAAGTTCATTTAATCAATTTTTGTTTGTTTGATGCTTCCTACTTCTTCTGTCTTATCTAAGTTTGTCTATGAGACTATTGTCTTAAATATTTTCTTCTAGAAGTTTTAGAATGGCAGTTTGCACATTTAAGGTCAATGTTCCAAATCGACTTAATTTTTGATATGGTGCAATCTAAGGATTGATGATACTCTTAAATACAAATAGTCAATTATTTCTGTAAATTTTTTTGAAAAGACTTTTCTTTCCTTCTTAGGAAGATTTTGTTCATTATTTCTCAAGACATTTTTCCCTATATTCTTCATTTCTCTTCTTCTGAGAATTCAACTGAACCCTAGAGATCAATACGCAGAATGAAGTGCATACTCCATGATACATTTCCTCCTTGTCCATGCTGTGGTTTAATAATATCACACAATTCCATATTAATTCCCATGGATGAATTAGAATTAGCAATAATGAGGAATAAAAACAGCTATACTGTTCTTGGGAAATTTGAGCTAATTTATGACCAAGGTACATCAGATATCAGGAAGCTAATTCAAAATGTTTGTTCTGAAATGCTTTTTGGAGACACAGAAAAATAATGAGTGGGCAATGGGATGACTATCACTTGTAGTCTATATTGCTCATTTGGTAAAATGCTATAAAATGCAGACTATCTTATGAAATGAGACAACATGTTTAAATTTGTATAACTTAAAAAATCAGGTAAAATGTTAACATTATTGACCTCTGCCGCATATCGTGAAGTGTCCAAAAGAAAGCACCTAGAAAATTACATGAGTTATCAGGAGTAAACCTTGGTGCTGGCTCTTACCTTGAAATTTTTATTACTATTACTTTGCTGTAATCTATAAAGTATGTTTCATATATTATGTTAATATACCATATTATATTGCTTTATATTACCTTGGATATATTACCATACATATGGTGATAAATGATGTATTAATAGTTTTCATGATGATTAAGTACATCCTTGAGACTGGCTTTTCTTTCCTTTGTGTATGACTGAATACAGAAATGCATACCAAGAAGGATGATAGGAATAGGAAAAGAGGGAAATACAGTGCATTAGGAGTCCACAATTATTTAAAAAATATTTTTCACTTTTTTGCAGTACTGAGGATGTAACACAGCACCTTGTGCTGCTAGGCAAGCACTCCACCACTGACCTATATCCCCAGTCCAGGAGTCCATGACTTTAATGAAGGAAAAGGAATAGCCCACAGTTTTGCAAATGAGAGCACCTATTTGGTTATAAGCACCAAAAGAGCTATTTGAAAGGAAGGAAAAGAATGAGAAAAAAAAAACAATGAAAAATAAGAAGGGCTCCTAGTTATCCTTCTTGCTCCAAGATAGGTAGGGGCATGGAAATTAAATAGTTTGCAGATAAGCAAAGTCCTCAGAAGATACCTGTTAAGGCCAGTAGTTAATGCAAACTTTCCATGAAGGAGCAGAGGATATTGAGGAATTGTTGATCATAAGTTTAAGGAATGTATACATGCAGAAAAATAGTTTAGCAGGGAAAGGCCAGATTCAAGATTGTGTTAAAAGAATTAGTTGTGGGAGCAATTTGATTTTCCCCTATCACTTTCTTGTTGGCACAATGTCAACTGTGTTTGTCTTCTTCCAGGAGGGCATGTGTTTAGTAATGATTACCTTCCTTTCAGCCCAGGGATCTCCTGATTAGTCCATAAGCCAGTCATTCTAATTCTTTCTTTTTGGCAATGATTGTTTTGAAAAGAAGCTTTTTGTCCTAAACACTGCCAAGTTAATATGTGATGGCCACCTTACATCACAGGGAGAAATTCAAAAGTAAATGATGTTATTTCCAGCTGCTCCTTCTTAATTTGTTTTTTCATTTCTCTATTTCATTTCAGTGGGTTCTCTAAAAGATGAAAGGCAAAAGCTTATGGTTAACCCAACATCTTAATTTAAGAAAATACATTTATTTTTCCCTAATTGTAAGATAGTATCTGCTCATTACAGAAAAGAAAATGAAAATATATTATGTAAAGTAAAAATTAAATATCTCAGACTCATTGTTTCCCCATGTATAAAAAATTACTTCTGTCTAAACATATTTATACTTTTTAAAACAAATATTTAAGTTATTAAGCATCTGTATTTGCAGCTTTCATTTAATAATATAGAGAGGGCTTCACAGAGAAGATAGTCTTGAGGGATCCTTATGAACCATTAACAGTTTGCAGGTGGGAAAGTTGATGAAGAGAGGTTCAGTAGATGAGAAAATATTCATGTCTGAGAGAAGACCTTGAGTGAAGACTAAAGGGTATGAGAGAGAAAGCATAATCATTTCAGGGAGAACAGAAGTATGCTCAATGACATAGACCAGAGCAGGTAATAAAGACAGTGGGAGGAAATGAAGTTGAAAATATGGGACAGACACCAATGGGCTTCCTATGCCACATTGCAGTGTGAATTTGATAATGCAGAATGTAGGGAGCTATACAAAGATGTAAGCAGTTGGGTAATAAGATTAAGTGATATATAGTGAAATATCACCATTTCTCAAACTCAGACAAGTATAATTTCAGCTTCTTTCTCCAGCACTTATTACTATGCAATTATAAAGAAGCTATTCAACCATTTTTTAAGTTACTTTTGTGTAAAATGGGGACAAAGGTAGAAGGTTGTAAGGATTAAATGAGATAACACACGTGAAAGTGCCAGTGGGGTCCTTAGCATGTCGAAAGTTTTCAATAAATATTAATTGACCTTTATTGCCATATATTTTTTGGTTGTTCTCTGCTTAACTTAAAAAATAATTTATAAAAGTTTATATTATTGTTCATCTGACACAGGTTGGAAGTGGGATGGTTGAGAAACTTTAAAACATTATTCACCTAAAGCAAAATGTGTCACAGTAAGAAGTATATTTGTGAGTTCATTTAATTGCTATAACTCATTTACACCTAGAACCAAGGTGGCATTGCCTAAACTCAGTTCGATCAGTCATTATTTCCATGGTACCTGACAAGTGCTAAGCCCTGAGAATTTTAAATATCAAAATATACAGACCTTAACCTTAGTGAGATAAACAAGCAACTATATTGACATAATCAATAGTAGAAATAGTTAAGTCAAGTGTACAAGTGCCTGACTGGTCCCTGGAAAACACTGAAATTATTTCTTCCCAAATGTCCTCTATCTACTGAACAAGTAGCCACCAGCAAGGAGGAGCACCATTAGTATAGCAGTATAACTTTCTTTTAGGGTGTCTTCTCATATCTGTTCTGATTGTCTTTACCAAGGAATGCATTCTTTTCTGAGGGAGAATATTATGAAAATTGTAGTTGTACATAAGTAATTTAAAAATTGGCATATATATAAATTGTTATTTCTAGCTGTGCCATTTAGTATTTTTGACATATAATTCATAACTTAATGTGTAAAAGATGTGTAATGCATGTAGAAGATTTCTTAGGCACAGAAGCTGAATGTACTCTTTAACTCACACTTGTTTTTTGTTTGTTCATTGTTTTCTTTTTTCTCGTTTTAGTTCTTTCACAAAACTTCCTCATCTGGCAGGAACAGAAGAAAATTTACTACTTGCCAAAAAAATTCAAGCCCAATGGAAGATATTTGGACTAGATTCAGCCGACTTGGCTCATTATGATGTTCTCCTCTCTTACCCTAATGAGACAAATGCTAACTGCATATCGATTGTGGATGGACATGGAACTGAGGTGATAGAGAATTGTTGGTTCTTTTCATATAATTATGCCACACTTTGTATGGATTAGAATATAAGGTCCAGTAAAAATATAAATTTGTTAATAGTGTGTAGAACTCACATTATATAGAAAAGTTAATAAGTTGTAAACTAGTCAGTGTCTGGTATGTGTTAGGCATGATGCTAAGCTAGATCTTCAGGCCAGAATGAAGATTAGGACATGGGTCCTTTGCTTAAATAAGGTGAGGCAGACAATAGGATACAGGGTTTCAAATCAGTATAGTAAGTGACATGAATGGTATGATAAAGGGTCTTTATCTGTACAGAAATGGGTCATTCACCCCACACCCACACCCAAGAACTAGCCCCCACACTGGGAGTTAGAGAAATCTTCCTATATAAGTTGACATATAAGTCATGAAAGAGCACAAGGGATGAATAATATGAAAAAGTAAGGTAAGAAAATTCTAGCTGGAAGAAAATATTGCAAAGGCTTGAAAACATACTATCTTAGTATTATTGGTAGAATTTAAGATTTTTACGTATTCCAAGACTGTAAAATACAAACTGACCAATGGAAGAGGTAGACCAGTGAAATATTTAAGTTATTAAGCATCTGTATTTGCAGCTTTCATTTAATGATATAGACGGGGCAAGCTTCACAGAGAAGATAGTCTTGAGGGATCCTCATGAACGAAAGCAAGTCCTAAGCATGGGAAGGATGTGACCACAAAATTCTATTTACATAGATGGGGGAGTCTGCAGATAACACCTAGACTAGGCAAGGAGTTAGAGTTAAAATTTAAAGACAGTAGTTCAGATGAAAGATGATGAAATCCTGGATTAGCATGTTAGCAGGTGAGAAAGAATGATGATTTTGAGAAACAGGAAGTATATAGGACTTGTTTAGTGTCTTGGAGGAAAGAAGTGAAGAGTGTTCAGGATAACTGCTAGACTGTAGGATGCGGGTGACTAATTTAGTGAGGCTATTAATGGAAGTAGAGGATGCAGAGCCAGGAACCGGCTACAGGTGGGAGAACATAAATTCAAATTTTAACTTGTTGAGTTTAGACATTAAAGCTAAGTGACTATTTGGGCTCTTAATATATGAGTCTGGACAACATAAGTACATCAGCTGTTGGCAAAATTTTGTTAGTCAATGAACTCTTACAGAGAGAGAATATAAAATAAGGCAAGTGGTGGGCTTGGGATAAAATATGTGTAACATTCAAATAAAAATGAAAGAAAAAGGGACCACAAAGGAGGCTGAAAGGAAGAGTCATGAAATGAAAATCACAAGTATGCTACCTTTGTTAGCAATTTTTTTTTTTTTCATGCTTGGGATGGAAACCAGGGGCTCACACGTGATAGATGAGCACTCTACCGCTGAACCACATCCCCAACCAAGAGTGCTGCCTTTGAAGTCCTGTTCTTTTCGGTTTTGTTGAGATGAAGTCTTGCTATGTTGTCCAGTTTGGTCTCAAATTCCTGGACTCAAGTGGTCCTCCTGTAGCATCCTTCTGAATGCTAGGATTACAGGCACATGACACCGTGTCCAATTTTGATGTCATTTTACACTGTATGGTAGCTTTTAATTGTCTGGGACTACATGCATTTATAAAAGTTTTTATTATTTTGAAAAAAAAATAATAGAGCTCTTTCTTATTGTCAGTAGAATTTACCTACTTAATTATGGAATCTAGGATGCTTATTAAGTCTATACTTGGAAAAAATTAATTATACCTTAATAATAACCTGGAATTATTCTTCTAGCTTGACATGCTTTACTTCTTGCTAGGTATTCAAAACATCATATCTTGAACCACCTCCAGATGGATATGAGAATGTGACAAATATTGTACCTCCCTATAATGCTTTCTCAGCCCAAGGCATGCCAGAGGTAAAGTAAAACATTTTTTAATTCAAGTTTTATTTATCTCTATTATTTTTAATTCAAGCTTTTAAAACTTTCTTTATTGTATAAAAACTATGTAGAGGAATAAAACCAAGGAATTTACCTGGAGATTAGACATACTCACCCATTGTTTTATGTTCAGTACTATGCATGCCCCCCGAAATAAAAATAATAATTAAAAAAAGACTACCTAAAACAAAAAAGAAAACAAA